TTTTTGTCAAAAATGAAAAAGAGAACTTTTTTTTTTTAACTTAGGTCAACGAAAAAAAGGCAGAATATTGGTCAAGGAGAAAAATCTCCAAGTCTTCATCACTTGAACATCTCTAACTGTATGTTTGGATTGAAGGAAAATGGAGAGAATGGAAGAGGAGAAAAAAAAATTTCTCTATTTAATTATTAAAGTAATTGGAGAGGAGAAATTTTTCATTTATTTGTTTTAAAATTTATTTATTTATCCAAATAAAAGAAAGAAAGAAGGGATAAACAAAAGAATACATTTCCATTCTCTTCTAGTCAACTCAAACATACAATAAAATACCGAAAAGAAAAATTATAGCGTTTTCCATTTTTAAAAGATGCATTTTCCATTTTTCCTCTATTTAATATTTACCGGGGATTGAGAGAGTCCAGTTCTTATCAAAGCCTAAAAGCCCAAAAGAAAAATCCCGCCAGGCCCTTAGACTATGGACCCGATCCAGTAACCCCAGCACAGGAGAAATACGTCACCGTTTCACTATCGAACGTCCCGATTGTCGGTGGGTGGTCGGCGGTGTTATTTTTTTTCGAACTCAACGATCAGAAAAATTCTTTCTGCAACCTCCGACAACCGAAACAGCAGTCTCTCTTCCAAGCCCCTGCCGTCTCTTTCCTCCGGCGTAAGGGATTCCGATTGTCTTTCAATGGTTTGGGGTGTCTATTGTTAGATAGATTATATGAATTTGACTGTTTATGGCTCCCTTGCCTTTTTTTTTTTTGTTTCTGTTAAATTTAACTTTACTTTTGCTCTTTTCTTCATTGGGTATCATTGTTGATGATGTTTCAGGAAGAAAGAACCAATTCTTTCAGATAAATTTCAATTTGACATGATTGCAATCTTCTTGTTGTCGGATAGATTATTTTCATCGAATCCTCCAGGTACATTACATGCACCCTTTTACTCTCTCTAGTATCTTCATTGATGTGATAAAAGCTTTGGAGCTTGTACAGTTTCAAATTCTCAACTTTCCTCTAGTTGGATTGAATATCTCCGTAAAGATATTTTACAATGAGTTTCCTGTAAACAGTATATATTCTACCAAAAACAATGGTTAATACAAAATAAGTCTTAGAATTAGAGGGCAGTATTTTATTTAATGATTTAAATTAGATAATTTAAATTATATTAGACTATATAATACTTTTTTTTTATACAATTCAATTTCCAATTTGATAAAATGTTATTCCATCATGCATTTTTTTTTTTCAAACGAATTTTGTTAATCTTGAATTTCCAGGTCTTTGATGAAAAAGAATATCAAACATGCTAAACACCCTTTTACATTGAAGTTTTCAAAATGCACAGTGGAAACCGATAGTTTATGGCTATGCCGAACAGAGGTGACGTGAATATGAGTATATTTTGTGAAATTTATATATGTTTTAGTTTTTTGATATTATTTATATTTCATAAATTTAAATTTTTTTCTTAAAACTTATATTTTTTAATTTTTTTAATCTTAAAATGACTTTAAACAGTAAATTTTTACTTTTTATAAACTGACTTTTTATAAATTTATTTTTTACTCACTTTTTATTATTTTTAAAATACAACTTTTAAATCTTCTTTATAATAAAAATTTAAATTTATAACTCATAAACAATACTAAAACAATAAAGCTCCAATAAACTCCATCAAAGAGGCTCATCTCGTTTATTTAGATTTTATTTAATCTTAAAAGGGGAGGTTTACTTTTTTGTTTATTAATGATTTTGAATTTTTAGTTTTAGTTTTTAGAAATTTAGAAAACTTAGAATAAAATTAAGAATTTTTATAAATTAATTAGGTTTGTAGTTTTGGATATTTGTTTTAAAATTTTATACTTGATAAATTGGCAACTTTAATTTTTAATTTTAGTCTTTAATTATTAATTTTGATTGTTTTAATTTTAAAAATAAAAATTAAAAACTAAAAATTACAACCATATTAAATAAAACCTTAAATTTTATTTAGGGGGTTTTTTTGGTTTACTTTCTTGGAAAATGTCCCCTTTCAAGATTTTTTAAGGATATTTTTAATATTTATATACTCTAAAATTATAATGAATATAGTGAAAAATAACATTTTCAGTACTTATTTTCCCCTATATAATTTTTAATTTGTAAATTTTTTTTCTTGTATTTTTCCAAAATGAAAAAGTTCCTCACAACTTTCTCTATATGAAACTCATTTTATGTTTTCTTACTAACTTTTTTATGTCAATTTCTAAATAAAGGTAACAAAATTAATAACCTAACAAAAATTTTTAAAAAATTTCATTGCAAAACTTATTAAAAAATTTCATTACAAAACTTAATAACTTTTTGTGTAATGTTTTCTAACTTTTCATACTGACTTTTGTATAATATTTTACAACTCTTCATACAATAATTTCACTAATCACTTTTTCAAGAAAGTTTATCTTGTGAAAATTAACTAAACACACCCAATCTTAAAAGGAAAATATTATCCCCTCTTACATAGCAATAACACTCTAAAAGGAAATTACCTCAGTTTTCAGCATTTGCCATTCCTGCAGCCTCATTGCTTCCATTACAAGTCTGCTTTTGGCTGTTATAATCGTTCTTGTCCTTTTTGTCAGGTTTCTTTCCGGTCCTTTTTGTCAGATATCTTTAGCTCCTCAAATTGTGCAGGTCTCAATAAATAATTACAAGCTTCTTGAGTAAGTCCTTTCATTACAAGCTTGGCATCACCATTTGTAGATAACACTATGCACATTTCATTTTTCCATGATTAAAATTGAGATCCAATTTGGATTGCATATATTCAAAGTAACAAAAGCAATCTTGAGGACTTACTTATGATAGGCAGGTCCATCTCAAGCTTCACAAGCTCAAGCAACTCAACACCATCCATGCTTGGCATAAGGACATCACTGATTACAAGATCAAACTGGTTCTTGTTTTCTCTCAACAACTCAAGTGCTGTGATGGCCTGAGTTGTGGTGGTAATTGCAGAAGAAAAAACCCGTTTCATTTTTGAGTATACAGAGGCCTATGGCATGGATTGAATTGTAAGGGGGTGTTTGGTCTTAGGGTTTGCTAAATAACTACTAGGCTTTAAATAAATGGTTTAAATATTGTGAATATGAAAAACAACAATTATTGACATTCATAGTAATTTAAACAACTAATTTAAATATCTTTAAATTTATAGTTAAAAGTATAGGAAACTCCATCACTATATTATATTATATTATTGAAGGTGAAGTAAAACTCATTAAATCAATTCTATTCTTCATTATTATTTACAACATTTCACATTCAATACAAATGAATGCCCTAGTTCATACATATTCCACAACTTTGCATCAGTGAAATCATAAATTATCAAATGGAGAGCAGAGTTTAAGCAAAATCAACAACGCAGCCAAAAGCTTAAAACAAACAAGTACCCAATTCAACGACAATGTCAAAAAGAAGAGATGCATTCAATTAAAAAAAAAAAAAAAAAAAAAAAGTTCCCTTTTCCTGAAACTCATAGAACCAACCTTCGTATTGCCATCGTTGATGAAGAGCCCGCAACTTTTAACTCCGCAAATGGAGAGAGAATAACGGCTAGCCTTTAGCTTTTTTGGGCCGTAACTTCTGTTTAAAAAATGGGCCTGTGGCCTGCCTTAATGAACTCATCCCTCAGGAATCCAGGCCACTGATTAAGAATGGACCCAAGAACATGTAGAAGACCCAAATCAATGCGCTTATTGAAGCCCGAATCCAACTCCGACACAAGGAAAGGGGGAAAAATGGTCCAAATCCAACAAAACTTTGTAGTTTTTTCGAATAGTTTAAGGGTTTTTTAATATGTATACCTTGTAGTTAATATATTTTTTAATTTTTAATTTATATGTAAAAATACAATACTTAATATTAATTTTTTTTTGAACATATTTGCAAGGGGCGGGTTTCGAACCCAGTCCGGGGAGGGGGGAATGCACCGGGTGGCTATTGCCACTAAGTCGCAAGGGCCAGATGCATACTTAATATTAATTTTAGTACTGATATTGTTGATGATTTTAATTAGATTAGATGATTACTAAATTAAAGTTTGTTCTTTTTTTATTTTAAATAATTTAGCACAAGAAAAATTGTCAAAAATAAATATTAATTACTCAATTTTTAAGTATTCTTTTTAAACACCACCAAACCGTCCCTAGCACTCAGGCCTCGTAGCTCATAGGAAAACACTAGAGAGACAGCCGCCATTTCCGATGGAAAGCAGAGTCTTGACAGGTGGGCTATTGCCCACGGTAGCTTAATTCGCCATTTCCGATGGAAAGCAGAGTCTTGACAGGTGGGCTATTGCCCACGGTAGCTTAATTCGCCATTTCCGATGGAAAGCAGAGTCTTAACAGGTGGGCTATTGCCCACGGTAGCTTAATTCGTTTGGTCTGAAGTACAAAGAGACACAGGTATCGATGGAGGAAACAGGGAATTCACCGAATGATGACCAGTAAACGGCTTTGATTTCTCCAGGATGACATACCGGAGCAGTGCAGGCGGAAAGTAGATATATACTGCACCCTGAGATTTGCTTGGGCACCGGGTAACTGACCAAGAGGACGGGAACATAAAAATAAACTTGGGTCAAGTACTTAGATTTTTTGGGCGCAACATGTTAGAGTGCGAGTTGTCCTAAATGAAAATAACGCAAATGAATAGGCAAAAAGAGTTTATGACTTTTATGTCTATAACGCAATGATTTATCTATTGCAGACAAAGAATTTGCTGAATGCAAAGGGTAAATATATGGTTTGATTAGTTTGCTTCTTCCAAGAGGAAAAGGAAAAGGTGTAAAAGATGACAGAGAACTAAGGGAGGAAAAAGAGCACATGAGAGATTAAGATGTTCTAAAGAAGAAATAGACCATGGAAGAAGATCACAAAGGCAACTTGCCCGTGTCATAGTGGTGAGAGGGAGAACAAAATCCAAGTATATCATGGGACGTGATCAGGGGAACACTGTTAGAATAGGAAGGGTCATTTTGTCTACTTCCAAACAGATATTTGATGTTGAAATGATGGTTTGTTTAGGCCATGAAAGGAAGACTTTGCAAAGCCAGACAGAGAGATCTCCTAAAGAGATTTGGTTCAATCTGATTAGACAAGTAATTTGTCCATGAAATGATGTGGGGTTGCTTGTAATGCATAAGCCAATGCTACTCTAAAATGACCTGTATTCTTTTCATGTCAAACCTAACAGCGTGTGGGATTAGATTGGATGGAAAAGGAAAAAAAGTTAGAAAGGAAGCTTGAGATAATATAAATTATATATGAGCTAGGGTCACTACACATAGATAATTTTTTTAATATAATTTTTATTTATAATATTTTATATGTTATTAAATAATATATATAATATTATAAATTTTAATAAAATAAACAATTTAATTTTTAAATAATATATAAAATTATATTTTTTTAATTTATTTTTAGTAAATTTAATTTAATTTTTTAATAATAAATTTTTAATAAAAATTTGATATATGGTATAAATAATAATTAAAATCTTTTATCAAATGAACCTGACCCGAAGGGTCAAGTAGCTCTAGTCACGCTTGTAATGTTCATATCTCCTTTTCATGAGCGACGGTTCAAACCGACCACATGACAAAATGTTCAAAAAAAAAAATCTTTTATCAAATAAAAATACTTAACAAGAATTTCATATAAGTAAAAAAAATTTTAATTATTATTTATATAAATTATTAAATTTTTATTTAAAAATTACATTTAAAAAATTAAAAAATAAATTAAATTTACTAAAAATAAATTTTTAAAAAATATAAAAATAATAACCCTCAATGATTTTTCAAAAGCCAAAAAGCTAAACCCTAAGATCATGCTTATCTCGAGGGCTAATTTTTAGAGATTTCTTCTTGTTAAACTAATGATATACTACATAAAATGGCAATATCATAGCATGATAGCTCTACATCAGCTTCTCTATTTCTTTGTCGGCCATATGCCACCGTCCCTACCATTTACACCCTATATACGGCAAACTACATGGATGATGATGATAACATAAACCTGAGTCACTGTAACATGTAAAATCGGAAAATGATTTTTGTTGATAAAAACAGTAATTTCTATTAATTCTTTTTCTTTAGATACATGAATCAGTATATATCAATTAATTTAATATTATATATACATATAATTATAATAAATATTGTTAATAAGTTAGTCAATAAATCATTATCATTATAAATGTGCATTTCTTTTCACATTCAAAAGTAATGCCAATTGCACATGAGAAGTGGACTAACTCTGCTAAGATATGTGTGGTCGCAATCATAGTGAGAACAAGAAAGTTTGACAAAAGAACCAAAATGAAACATGATTCACATTGAGAAATATTTTACCGTAGTGGAGAAAAGTAGAAAACTCACTAGAACAAATGACACTCTTGCCCCTGTGGTTCACAGCTTGTCTACATCTTTGCATTCCAAATCCTGCAGTTCAGTGGTAGCAGGTATCAGAAGAAACAATGAAGGAAACATAGATTTTAGATCCACACACCAAATTTTAGTTACTACTTAATAATGATATTATAAGACATCCCCCCACCTCTGTGACGTGACCTTATAATTTTCGTTGTGTCTAATCAACCGGAACAGATCTATTTTGAGTATTGCTGTTCGTGTGCTGAGAATGGTATAAAAAGTGGGGCAGAACATCAGAGAAAAACAAAATGGAAACGCCCCCCTTCAAAAGCGTAGAGGGTGCACGCTCAAGGGAACTGGGGGACATGGTGCCCCTGGTTGATGGAGTTTCCATTTGAGGGTTGTGTCGTCTGCATTCCAAGGTCAGTTTCTGTCTCCCCATGATTGGGGCACTTGACACTTGAAGCAAAATAATCGTTAGAGCATGCATCTTCCGATTTTGCTCATTTGGGACTCAAAATCATGCATCCTTGGAATATCGAATAGGAAGGAAATGTTAAGCTGGCAGTCAAACTGGAAGTGATGCAAAAATAAAATAAGATTTAAACCGGACCTATAATGGATAAAATAAGGCACTTAGTGGAGTTCCAATTAATTAAGTCTAAGTCTATGACAAAACACAGCTACCAAATCCTTTTTCTAAAGTAAGTACTACTATAGGGGTATTTAGTTAGCTCTCCTAGTGTAGCATAAAGCTTTTCTCCCCATCATTTAACTTCAGTTCAAAAAAAAGAAAGGCTTTTCTCTCCATCAAAATTAAGGATCTCAACCTTCCTTCTTATCAACAAACATTTCATCATCTACCAAGTACCAGGTGAGGCTCAAAAGTTCTCTCTCCCATGGAATCACTGGGGAAAGAAAAAAGTTCCCCCGAGAACTCATGCATAATTATTTCTACACCAGAGGCAGCTCCATGTCCAGATACACCACTGCAGAGGGCAACGGAGAAGAAACAAGAACTGGTTATTCTAGAGGAAGAAGCAGAAGATCAAGAAGGGGCAAAGCGTATTCGCCTACTAGATCTAAAGCTAAATACAAGTGATTCCAATCATGGGTTCAATCAAGAACTCAATCTTATTGATTACTTCAACACAGGTTCATCTCGAACTTCACCAGAAACGCCACTTACAGATGCGGAACAGCGAGTTTTCTCATGCAACTATTGCCAGAGAAAATTCTATAGTTCACAAGCGCTTGGCGGACACCAAAATGCCCACAAGAGAGAAAGGACTCTAGCAAAAAGAGGAGAAAGAATAGCAGCACATATAGCAGCCTCGGCCAGTGCTTTTGGACACCCATATTTTCACCACAATCATTACTCCAGCATGGCTTCTCTTCCACTACATGGTGCATATGGCAGATCTCTAGGAATCCAGGTGCATTCAGTTATCCATAAGCCTTCTCCTATTTCTTCTTCTAGGTATGGAAATGTGTATGGACACCATGGCTGGTCTAGGCCTCCTATAGACCAACAACCAGCAATCGGAAGGTTATCCATGGAGAATCACCATGCAAATGCCAAAGGACCTGAGTCTAGAGCTGCTTTTGGGAGGTTCAACATAGGGAGGTCCCTGATGATTTCTGCTGCTGATGATACAATTGATAATTCTTGGTGGAGGGGTAGCGGTAGTTTGAAGACTACCCAGGAAGAGATACAGAAGGTTGACCTATCCCTCAAGCTATAAGTGTTTTTTTTTTCGTTAGTGAAGCGTAATTGTAAATTTTTTTCCTGATAAAGATTTTGATTACTCTTTCTTAATTTGGCAGTTATTGTATCTATATTTCATTAGCAAATAATTTGGAAGTTTTTGTTCTCTTTTATTCAATCTTTCCTTTGAACTATTCACAAGTTCCTCATAAGATAATCAGAAGCGAGGTTTATGTTGGTGTTGAGAGGAATTCCATGATCCCATCAATTGGTAATGGAGGAGCTAGAGACAGTGGAAAGGTTTAGAACCTCTCAAATTAAGTTAGGGACAATTCTCCAAGTTCAATTTCCGACTCAACAGCAATAGGTCTAGTCTTAGACTCTAAATTTCCAGGAATTCAGTGCATAATATCTAGTTGGATGCTGGCTATGCTATTAGCCTATGAGAGTTGGATACACTTAGCATCAATCTGAAACCTGGAATCAAAGTTTGCCAGAAGACCTTAATACTGCAGATTTCCTCTTCCTTTAAAAGGACTTAGTTAAAATTTTATGATTATTCGAAAGAAGAAAGTTGGGGAAGGCGTTCACTGTTTCCTAATTCTTACTCATCTAGGCATAAACTTTAAGGACCATGGTCCACTGCCCTTCTTTCATATTGATGCTCCTAAAATTAATCATGAACATTATTTTACTTCATCAAGTGTTTGATAGAGTATTAACTATTATAAGGTTCCATACAGTGAACATCAGGACAGTTGAAAAAGATAATTCAGTGGATTCATATTCTAACAAGAAAATGCAAATAGAAGATCTTGCAATAATGACATTTTAGTTAAAGAATTTAGGAGATCTCACATTATTCACATGAAGCTTTTCGTTTCAATCAGTGCTACGCTTTGAGAAGCATCTGGAGGCCCAAGCCACCTAATAGCTTTTGAGGTAACTTAGAATTTGTTTGACCTGTCATCTCAAAATTATAAATAAAAAGTGAATTAGAAGTTGAATAACCTTATGGACATAAATTAACCTACTGCACACGGTTTCCTATAATCGATAGAAAAAAAAATATTACATTTATAGCTAATGTGGGGTACGGTTTGGTCTTGTAATGAGGATCCTGTCCTAGGTCACTTTCACCTATTCATCCCCGAATCTAAGAAGATCTGATTTTAGGCCAATATAATGCAAATAACATGGCACACAATTTGGTTGCTAAATTAAATATCACTAATAGCTTTCGGTGATCATAGGAAGTTAACTGGGCTGGGACTTTGAAATTATGATATTTATAATGCCTCCTTATTTTTTATGAACATTTATAGTGCCTCCTTGATTTAAAAATGAGGGGAAGTAGTAGTGGATGCTGAGACTGATAAGTTTGAGACACATCCGACATCATGGGCACAACGACTTTTGAACCAAAACCGCAAGAAAAGACAAAATTAGATACCTGCAAAGAACAGTTTGTCTAAATGAGATCTAAATGCAGACGAAGGGCAACACATAGAAATAAAGATTTGTCATATTATGAAAAACTATGTCAGCATTATTTTACTAATGCAGAAAAACAAATAAAAAGATCACAATTAATTGGAAAATGAACTGATACCTTCTGGCTTGAATTCATGACAATTCCAGGTTCCCAAACCTAAACATGCAACAATTACCAAAGCAGTAAGATAAAGATTTATTATTAAGTCAAAGAAAAGCTATGCAGAATCGTTCATCATCACTTAAGAGTGATTATTATGCAAATCAAACAGTATTAATAATCCAAAAAATAGTATAAATTATTCTGAAATAATTGAATTCGGAAGGAATTATTAAATTAGACAATAAAATAAGAAGTCACAAGATATGAAAATGCTGAATCATCACCCTTTAATTATTATGAGGCATGACAGACAGTTACCACAGTGCCATCAACTAAAATACAAAAAAATTTAAAGTCTCGACAGAAGTTCTGCACTTAAGTGATCTACAATTTAGCCCAAGCTCCACCTTCGATTAAAGTAACTAAAATAATTGGTTCAGTGAATATAACTAATTAAATAGGTCTATTATCAAATGTAATTAGACCAAGTTTCACATCCAATTGCTGTTGAAAAAACTGTTTCATCCAATTCAAACCGCTCATACTTGACAGACAGTTTTAACTTTTAACTTTGCCAATTCGCTTACATGACTCAGCAAGATGACTTTATTCATACTCAGCAGTCAGCACAGAAACAACCAGAAGTAACTTGGTTACCCTATACAACATAGATAACAGAACAGAACTAACATAATTTTGGTCAGAATGAAGTAATTTAATGCAAAATCTTTCAATATATAAATATATATATATAGAAGAAAAAAATAAAAATAAAACTTGTACTGGAATGGGAACCGCTAGAATTTTCCATTGGGTATATGCTATAATATCTTGCCACTAGCTAGTTCTTCAAATGCCATACAGGAGAAATAGCATTTTTTTAATCACAAATTTAAATGACAAAATAATAGAACAAATGAGAAAGAAGAAAAGAATGCGTCAAAGTAGATGATTCATGGAACCATATATAAGCAGATGGTTCATGGAACTATGTATAAAGCTCATAGTTCATCTACATGCTTTTAGCACTTTTGGTTGGTACTAGCTGGATTTCATATGGAAATCAGATATATAATCTACTGAATACCCCGCTCCAAAACCTAACATGGACTAGATAAGCTAAGAGCCTAAGATCACATCAAACAGTTATACCAATAATTGCCATATACGTGCCAATACAGCATCCAAATTCATGACAGACCTACCAAACACAGAAAACTAATAGAATCACCAGTCTGCTCTTCACAACATTTTGAAAAGTTCAGTTTAAGGAAAAGGTGGCCCAGTGGTGGCCTCTACAGGGTGCACCACGTAGTCTAGATTCATAAATCACTTGGGCCACGAGACAAAATCAACAAATGGAAATTGCATAGATAGTGCCTTGTTTTTATTGTGCACGAAATCCTTATTTTTTAATATTCAATGATTTCTGATGGCAGCATATCTTCAAATGATCTTCTAATGTACATATATAGTTACATGCAAATAATTGCATTCGTCGAACAAGACACATCTGCCAAAAAAAAAAAAAAAAAAGAAAGAACATATTCAAGTAGAATTCCAGTGTGTATAAACAATTCATTTTCTCTCTCCAATCTCCACCAAATGCATAATAGTGTACCTGCAGATGGTGATGGACTTTCACAAGCCTTATGACCTTACTATTCATAGTGATATATTTCTTCCAATTTCCTTGGTGATCTGCCTTGTGATTGTGCTCTGCATATAGGATTAGCTCACTATGAACATTTAAAACATGAGTCAGCACACCGAATAAGCTTAGTAGGTTATGCTTTCTTTTCTGTAAGCTACATCAAAACAATACAGCAACCACAGTCTACTTTCTTCCCCCAAGAGTTTCAGCAACGCAGTAGATATCATTCAGAGAAAAGGTAGTAGATAAACTGCTCCATTCACACCAAAAGTGAATAAGAAAATGAGCGTAAATTTCTAAATATGATCTATTACCATACAGTCCAAACTTCTAACATAACCACTGATAAATGCTGTATATCAGATTGTACATAATTTGGAAGTGCTTTCACAAGATTACTTGAGATTGCAAATGGAAGAGCTTCCAATTAAGGAAAGGAAAAGGAAGTTGAATCATGTCCTACGCCATGGCAGGGTACTACAGATTTATGCCAAAATGTTTTATTCTCTAAGCTTTGCCCAAGCCACGAGCATCCATGAAGCAATCTCATAGCAAACAGGGCAATGACAGGCCTGACATTAGCTAGCTGCTTACTTCTCTCTCATAGAGACTTCGAGATACAATAGACATCACCAAATATTTGCCTAGAGATTACCTTCATAATTCATCCACTTTTGTTAACGAGCGTTATTATCCAAGGCCATCATATATTCAGCCGGGCATCAAATTGAATATATGTATAAAAATCATGCACGAGGAGCATAACAATGTCCATCCCTCTAGGAGATTAATATCTTCAAATCAATAAATCCAAAAATTAGAAAATATAAGTTTTGCAACTATTTTTCCACAAATGACTTGACAGTACTCAACCATTGGATAAGTTCAATTCTATCCTTGTTCTTCATATACTCGTGCAAGAAAACAGAGAGCTCATCATTTACCCCCCTTGCTTCTAAATATTCACGAAGTGTCTTCTGAAGCTTCACATTCAAATCCCTGAAAGAAACAAACATATGCACCCAACCACTGGAGTCACCATCATGAAACTGCGTAATGAAAGCCTCAACAAAAAGCGCTTGGCATAAAAATTTGTTACAAACACAATCTAAACTAGAGAACACAGAAACAATACCTGAAATTAGGTCCCATGTAAGGCCCAGCGATCATCTTTTCACGCCTGAGAAAGTAAACTTTCTGAATTTCCAAAGAATCAGGCCATGCTGAGCACAAAAACTCTAATTCCTCACGATCCTGCCCCTTGGAAATATCAACCAACAAGCTAATGTGGAGATGCACATCTTCGCCGGTACTATCTTCTCCAGGTTTTGGAACATATGCACAACCATCAAACATAGTAACATCAATTTTAATGTCTTCATTGTCACCATACTTCCCCCTCATTGTAATATACTGCTCGCCAGGTCGATCTTGTACAGTAAACGAATTGAACTTGGCAGCAGGCTATACAAGTCACACAAAAAGGGGAAAAAAAAAAAAAAGACTCCTCTCATCTCATTTTCTCGAGAACCAAACAAAGGCTGAAGCATTTAAATCACTAAAATCAAATTAGAGAAGGAATCAACACGGAGCATAACTACCGTACATGATGCGGTGGAGCGTATTCCGACTGGTACTGGATCTCGTTCCGGAGGATTCTGAGAATGTTAGCTTCGAAAGGCGATTTGGAAATGACTTCGGAAGCGTAAGATCTGGACTGGACAAACGAAGTTGAGGCGACGGCCGGTGATCGGACACCACCGTGCAATAAGCTTTTGGAAGAATTACAGAGAAGTATTCTTTGAGCTGTTCGAATCAAGCGAGCCATTTTTGCGCGCGTCAATTTCCAGTTCTTCGGTTTTGGGGTTTTTCAAGTTTTGGTGATTACTGATTCTAGGGTTTAACGACTGCGGATTTCGCGGAATCGCCTTCCGGGAAAATTGAGTAATGGGCTCTGGCCCGAGTTTGGCACGGGCTTAGTATAGTTGAGTTGTTTTTCAGAAAATCTTTGTCCAGGCCCCGAGCCTTCGGTTCTTCAGGCCTGGTCCTCCATTTTCATGTGTCATGTCATGTCACTTAAGTCACTGGGCCAGTGGGCCCTTTAAACCACCCGACAGGCCGACAGTACGAAAAGAAGTTGAACGAGAAAAATGGCACGTGCAGAATCTGGAACTGAGAATCTGGGATCGTGCGAAACTGTTTGCTGGTATGGGAGAGGTTATCCTCACTAATAATTTGGTTAAATTTATTAATTTTATTTTGTAATTTTATTAATTTTTATTTTTTAATTAATTAATTATAATATTTAAAATATTTATTTATAAAATATTTTTAATTTAATAAATGATAAATATTAATTATTTTAATAATTAAA